GGGAGGAGGAGGAGGAGGAGGAGGAGGAGGAGGAGAAGTGGTGTGCATCCTACCTGCACGCAGCGGAGGAGTATCACAAAACCGAGGAATCAATCATGGACGAGCACGAGGTAGCATGCAAATTCCGCACACTCAGCGCCACCAAGACGGTGGTGTGGATGCAGTCATCGAGGTCTCCAACGACGACGAGGAGTTCTTTTACTGTTTTTTGCTCGTTCGTGCTCAACCTAGTGACAATACATTGTTTAATTAAGCTATGTTTGAGTTTAGTGCTATAGTATTTCTTATAATTATTGCTCTAAAATGTGTTTGAGTGACTTTAGTGCAAACCTAAGCTTTTGTTGATTTGAAATTTTCAAGTTGGCGTGAAAAAACGTATCGTGGGAAACAAACTTCTGTGTCATTCGAGACGGGTGATCGGGAGGCCCCAAACTACTTTTTCTGGGAGACTTCGCTGTGCGCCCTCCCCCTCGCCGCGGCCGGTCTATTGTGTTGTGAAAGGACGGTTGGTGCTAATGGTCACCGCTGTCTATAGTCAATCACTGTTTTCATCACTTCGAGATTTTTCTTTTTATCCATCCACAGGCATAACTTCGGTCTTGTATGACTTAGCTCTGTGTCGATGTGATCGTGTGTGTGTGTGTGTGTGTGTGTGTGCGCATTTCAGTTATGTATGGGCCAGGTATGTACTGATTATGAGTCAACAAAAATCATCCTTTATAATAAAAAGTGGCAAAGTATCACTCAAAGATATAAAATCTCTAGAAATTGCATTGTTCTATCAACGAAATGTTGGGGAAGAGCTAATCGGCATGTGAAGAAATGCTTTCAAGCTGTTGCAATTTCGGAGTAGAACGAGGGGGCACGCGCACAAAAAGGGCCTCCTTGTACATGTAGTCACAGTGTAACCATGGATGGATAGATTGGGGGATAAGAGGCGGGTTACGTTGGTGTCGGGACGCGCCAAGGTGGCACCCGGGTTTCCGTTCCCGCGTGGGGACGCAGAGGCGCTCCCTACTGGCCATTAATCAGTTCTCGCGCTACCATCCCAAGAAAAAACCCTCCTCTGCCCACGTGAGTGACAGCGAGAATCTGTTGCAGTCGCTTCTCCACTTATTCCACTCCATGGAATATTTCTTGTTCCTTTTTCTAGGATCATCTGTTCTTCTTTTCACTCGCCTGTGACCGTAACGATGTGATGCAACTCTACAGCAGCCCATCCCCGGCCTAGCCCAGCACGGCTGCGTTGCAAGGCCTCGCCTGGTATGGCGTCGTTTACCCCGGCCTGCTTAAGCAGACCAAATGAACTCGGCCCGGCACTAGGCGCACGCCTAAGCATCTCCTATTTGCCGCATTAAGCGTCCATTACAGTGCGGACGTAATTCGAACTGCGCTCCTTCCGGTTTAGTACCCAACACACTAACTGAGTGGTTCACCGGAATATAAAAAATATATGTTTCAAAAAATGTTAATCATGCATTAATAAATTACTAAACCTGTATATTAAAAATGTTCCTAGTGTATACAAAAAATGTATAATGTGTATGAAAAAAATAAGAAATAAAAAATTGTCAAAAATGTTAATCACTTATTTGAAAAATGTTAAATGTGTATATAATAATATTCCTGAAATATACTAAAAATGTTAAAAGAAAATGAAGAAAACCAATAAAAATCGAAAAAGAAACACGAAGAAACATAGCAAAAAGGGAAAGAAAGAAAGAAAAGCAAAAAAACCAGTAATAAGATTGAAAAATAAATAAAAACCGGTAAAAACAGTGAAAGAAACAAAGAAAAATGATAATAAAACATAAAATCAGGGAAGAAAGAAAAGGAAACCAAAAGGCGAAGAAAAAGGATAAAAGGAGACAAATAAGCACATATAACAAGCGTGCGGGCGACCACACTAACGGGCCAGCCCATATGCACGAACCCTTAAGGGGAGACGGATGCTACCCTCGCTATAAGTGAGATATAGCATTCGTGCGACACTAGGCCACGACTTTGTCTCGCCCGAAGCGAGACGAAAGAACCACAAGGGCAACTAAACAACGGGAACGCTCCAAAGGCTTTCGGCAGCAGACAATTTGATGGGCCGGCATTACGCGCGAGCAG